CAGTTGGAATATTGGCAGCCAAAGTGATTCGGCAGCAATCCTGTCTCCATACTGCTGCTCTCCCTGGTAACCAGAGAGGCTGCCCAGCTATGTTTAAAATTAGATGAGAACCCACACCCAACCATCTGCTAAAAAGTGTCATTTTCTTCTGCGGAATTAAAATCTCATTTCTCTTTGGATAAAGACGGGCAGTCCACCAGGCCCTTTCTGCCCAAGCCGTGGGAGCTCTCAGCTATCTAAGCAGTGATGGATTTACACAGGATTTGAGCAGCACTAGGAGAGAGGGAGCTGCCTGGTTCCCTCCACCCTCCTTTTGGGACTGCAAGCCCTTGACGAGCCGCTCCACTCCCTCGCTGTTTTGTGCTGACAGGATTCCCACCGCCCTTGTGTCATAAGCTGAGCCAGCTCTTTTGTCCGATGGCTTGTTCTACAATTATTTACTCGGCTGTCCAATTCTGAATAGGAACTCGGAGCAGCCAGACATCAATGCTGTTTTTCAACTTTCTGCCACCCTAGTATTAGGCTCCCTCCAGAGAATCTCAGTCTTGTGCAGCAAAGCCAACACTCCTGAAGGCCCCAGTTAATCAAGAGAAAATCACATTCAAAAGGAGAACTCAACACAACCATGTTCATGTTCTAGAGCTGATGGCAAAAGCCAGATCCTGGGGAATTGCATACCACGTGGGCCATAGCTTCCCTTCCCTTTCTGTGGGACCCTCCTCATACCTGTCCTCCTTCTCTGTGCCCCCCGCACTACCTTGCTGTTCAAGCCACAGGTTTCCTGGGACCCTTGGAGCAGGAAGCGAAAGCTGGAGGGAGTGGGACCCCAGAGATCCTAGCCATAATAGCAGAGAGTGGCACCCCAGCAGAAGCCCACGGGCCATAAGATAACTGCCTGGGGGGCGGCAGGCTGCCAGTTGCACAGCCCCAATCTAGAGTATTTGAAACAAGTGAGAAAAAATGCATCAATGTGATTTAGGAGCTAAGCTGCCAGTCAGTGGAACTTAGGCACTTTTGAAAATATGATCTTTTATCTGCTGACTTGTTGCTGAGCTGAAAATACAACTAAAACATGGGTAGGCCCTTGAAAGATGTTCGAGTTGAACAAATTAAAACAGCTCTTCTCATTGGCTGCAGCTGTGGCCGACTTCTCTCCCAAGCTGGGCTGACATCATTGATGAGAAAATAAGGAAGCAAGCAAACAAAGCTGTGTTAAGTTCAAGCGCCTTTGTAAGCTCCAACCTTACAGTCCTGTAGTCTGTAAATAATGTGGGGAAGGAGGTCAGGCATGCAAGGATTTCCTCCTCCTCCTTGTACCCAGGGTAGGTTCGAGCACAGCCACAATGCAGATGCTAGATCAAGGATGCTTAACCTTTATCAGGCATGCAACAGGCTCTGGCCTCAATCCTTATGTACCAGCTGACCTCAAGATTCAAGTGAGGGGTAAGGAAGCATACATTGCACCCTATCACTGAGTGGTTATGTTCCAGTATAAAATGACCTCAGGATGTCCCAAGCTAGCAAAGCACTGCCCGAGCACTAAAAAGGCTTACAATACAATCATTTATGAATCCATTTCCAATAATGCCATCTTTAAAACTTGTACAAATAAAGCCACTTACTCCCCTGAATGTCTAATGAAAAGGCCCTGCAGAATTTAACACAAAACAACTTTCCTAAATATTGTTTCTGAAGACAGGAGGAAGAAAAGTGCTTGCAACTGGTAAGAGATGAAAATGGTAATCCAGTTAATTCCACAAAGGACATCACAGATCATTTTAAACACCTCATGAATATAAGACATTTTACACACCCAAAAAAACAAGGGCTCGGGGGGAGCTTTTAAATACCAAAAGAAAAGTGTCCAACTGTACTTTCTTGCCTTCAGAGATCAAGCTACTCATTGGTATCTTAAATGTGAATGTTACCAGGTAAGATTGTGATATCTCAGCGTTACATTTTCACACTTCAAAACACAAGCTACAAATGTGGATGTAACAAGTTCAACCCTCAACACTTTCTTTACTTCAGGGCTGTCCAAATGGCAGCCCACAGGCCAGATGCAGCCCCTGAGAGGTCAACCTGTACTCCCTGGCCTTCTGGTGCCATGCCCCCATCATTCTCCAGCTGCTGCTGCTGCTGAGGTCTCTGGTCTCTACCCTTCCTTTCCCCAACTTCCACTTGTTGCCCCTAACCCTGGGTACAAGGCAAAGCAGCCTGTGGGGCCAGGGAAGGTACTGTCAGGGGGACCCATAGATCCTGCACAGGGTGCTGGCATGGCAGGGTGGGTCTACACAGCTTGGCATGGCATGTGGCCCAGGAGGAACATGGTCTGTGCAGCATGTGGCTTGTGGCCAGCAGGTTCTGCCCACTCAGAAGTTGGACAACCCAGCCCTACTTGAACTGAATGCGCTTCCTTAGCACCTTTACAATTTTGTACCTCTTCAGTACCTTTCATCAGCATATGTCAAAGTGCTTTACAAACACCGGGCCAGATTCCTGAATACAGCAGATATCTATGCAACACAGCAGCGTGGAAGGCTGACAAACAAAATCAACTTTAAGCCACCTTTGCAGTTCCCGAATTCTAGAACAAGCAGCCTGGCTGCTCTAACACAACACTAGGCTGCAAAAGCCTCCTGAAGGCCGTAGGATGGTTGAAATACAACAAAACTAGGAACTTCACATATATGGGAGCCTATGTACAGCTCTACCAATGGCTCTGCAGCACCCAGGGACCTATCTTTCAGCAAAGATATTTTCTGACGCTACATCTGACCAGTTTGTAGGCTTTTTTTTCCCCCTCTTGTCAGGGAAGCACAAAGGGAATCAAACCCACTACCTTAGTAAGCTTCATGTGATGCTGCCTAGAGCACTATACCAAACCACAAAGAAATAATTTGTCCAAAGTCAGTGAAGCACTGACCCAGTCTCTCAGTCTGAAATTAGTTTTTGAATCAAGTGGCTACTAAAGAGAGGAGCCTACACTTCCAGGCTTGTACCTATGCTGGATTAACCCCTTAGTGGGCCCTAGGCAAACAAATTTGTGGACCCCGGGCTAGTCGAGGCCCCTTTCCCCACCCTGGTGCTGCCACCCGCAGGGAGCAGGGCTTGGAGCCGCAGCTAGGAAGCAGCCACTGGCAGCAAGGCCAGCAGAGGGAAGGGAAAGGGAAGGGAAGCAGATGGGGCCATTCATGCCGCCACCAGGCCCACCCCCCCCGCCGCAGCTCAGGGCCCTAGGCATGTGTCTAGTTTGCCTATGTGTTAATCCAGCCCTGCTTGTACCCTCTGCCACACTGGTTTGACTGTGCTGTCAGAGACCTCCCAGCTACACCCTGTTGAGAGACTCGAAAAAGGAAACCAGTTTTCCCATCAGCCACCACATTGTACTTTAGCAAGGGCTGAAGCAATTTCTCCAGTGCCAGTCACCTGACTGACACACCCATCCAATTTCCTTAGAGCAGTTTGAATAACTCCTCTCTCAAACCAACCTCTCTTGAGCAACAAATGCCTAGGAGGCGCAGCAGCTGGCTGGCTGCTAAACACTGGAGGTAGGAATCCTGCTTACCGCTAACTCAAGTCACTTGCACAGAATCCTGCCAGGACCATCAATATGGGAACTAGCGAGCACAGATGTGGGCTTACTGCTGGAAATACTGGGTGAGACTACTGCATTTCTTTTATGTAGGAGGTCAAGCCTGATACAAAGTTCTAAAGGTGACAAATTCTTCCTCATTGAAAAGCCTCCCATGTCATCATGTAGCAAGGTTGTTTGTCGTAGCTGTGTTGGTCTAAGGACACAGGCAGGCAAGGTTCTTTGTATAGATGTGATATCTTTTATTAGACCAACTAAATAGTTGGAAAAAAGTTCTTTGCAAGCTTTTGGGCACAAACGTCCTTCTTCAGGCATTGGGAGACTTTGCAGAGTCTCCCAATGCCTGAAGAAGGGCCTTTGTGCCCGAAAGCTTGCAAAGAACTTTTTTTCATCATGAAGCAAAACACTCAAGCCTCCAACCAACAGTTTCTTAAGAGGAGATTTGAAATGATCTATGTTCATAGCAAGCAATCAAAGTCTACTATTCACAGATCATCACTAAGGAAAAAAAAAAATCAGTCTTCCTACTTCCAGTCGCTTCCTCAGAAATTCTATCTGCCTAGAACCAAAGGAAGAATTAATTCAACTTTGAAACTGTAGCAGTCCCCAATGGAAACCTTCCACAAGCCCATACTGTACTGGTTGCAGCCAAGTGTTGCTAAACCCAACCCACAAATCTAAACCTAGCATGTGTTAGTGCCAGTCTCAAAATCCCTACAACTGTAGCTGCACCCAACGGAGTTAAGATCCACTGATTTAAAGCATAAAGCACCCTTGTGTTATGTTTGTTAAAGATATACCCACTTATCATGAAACACAACCAAGTAAAGAATTCTTGGCACTACTGACATATTTCAAGCACTGATAATTATCCTTTTAAACTCATTATAAGCATCCCAGCTGTTAGAATACAATAGCATGCAAATCACTTTCCTCCCACTCATGAGTTATAAAATGGCCTGGCTGATTCACTGAATCACTGGTGGGGTATGGAGCTTTCCCCACATTCCAGAACACAGGCTCCAATCCAATCTGAGTTTGCAGTGATTGGAAGTCTTTATTGAGGGCTTGCAGATGGTCTGGGAGGAATAAGTTGAGTCAGATACTACCAGGCAGGTGTCTGCATCAAAAGCAATTATAACAAATAGCATTTGTCAGCCCCTTGCTGACAGCCTAAGCAGAAAGGTGAAGGACAAATGAGTCACGTAGACCAACTCATCTCTGATCTGCAAGGGCTACGGCTAGAAGTAAAAAGCTGAGACCCACAGATAAGGGGCCTTCACTTACTACTTCTGTGGGTCACCAGAAATCTGTGCTCCTACAGCTAACAAACAAGGTGCCTATAACAGGTATGAGGCTTACTTTGAGAAGAAAAGCTTCAGAGAGAAACTCCATTCACACTGACCTGCTTGAGCTGTTCATCCAATCTCCAGGGCTGCCGCCCAGATGGGGAACCTGAATATGGTTGTTTAGTAGTGTCTTTACCCTGCTCTTCCTTTACTGGCTGTCCTCGCTGATGTCCTGGGGTGGGATTAGAGGTAGAAGCCACTCTTTGGTTGTGATGGGCCACTTTGGGAGAATGAAAAAACTTCAAAGCAGAACAGGCATCTTTCCCAGTCATTTCGGTGCCATCCTCAAGATCTCCACCTTCCAAACCCCCTTCCTCTTCCTCATCCTCCTCTTCTTCGTCTTCCTCTTCCTCCTCCTCAGGATCAGAGTTCATGCTGCTCTGATCAAAAGCTCGGGCAGCCCCAGCTACAGGTGGGACTCTGGCCAGAGGGCCAACAGCAGAGCCACCTGAAGCTCTGCCAGATGTGGCTGCTAGAACAGCCTGCTGGGCAGCCAGCTGCTGAGTATACAGCATCTGGGCCTCTCTGATCTGCCTCTGCTGTCTCTCCCTGGAATCCATCTGCAGAGGAGCTTGCTGCTGCTGTTGCTGCTTTTGCAGCTGCTCCACAACAGCTTCGAGCTTCATCCTGCAGTTAGCATGGCTGGGAAAGGGGTGGGGGCGCTTCTCAATCCAGTAGGGTGCAAGCCCCAACTTCCAGAGATCAACAGAATCTGAAAGAGAGTTAACAGTTGTCTGTATGAATATAGAATGCTTTCATCTTTCTCTATGTAGGAGGCTAAGCAGGCTCCAAGGCCAATACTCTTTCCAGTTCAGGAGACCGTGAAACAATCTGCCTTGAGTTCAGCAGCCTCAGGCTCAAGCTTGCATTAGATTTTCAGTGTGTTTAATTGTATTTTCAAGCTGAGCACATTTAGCATAAGCACAGATTACAAACTCCACCATCTGAAAAGCCTCTGTTCCCTGCCCCGAAAGCTCTTTCTCCACTGAATCTCAATCCCCACTCCCTGCCCCCTACACATACACCACCTAGCTTAATGTATTAGGTTTTTGATTTATATTTCCCTTCTCCTTGTATTGGAGAATTGACGGAACTGCACTGAATAATCATTGCACTTGGAAAAAAACCCTTTCCATTATTTCACCAGATACCATTGCCTTTGTTAGTTATTTCATGTTTTTGTCATTTTACCAGAGTTTAACGTGCTGAGATAGTCATAAAAACAGGTCTCTATTAATAGGCAACCCTCAATCCTCTGGAACATGGTGTACATGTAAGAGGTCTAGTCACCAACACCTTCTACGGGTACACCTAGGCAAGAGTATGGAGGAACGGAGGCTGCCCAAGACCTATCATCCACCCTTTAGACCACTAAGAGAAAATCCAAAGGCCAGACCAAGTCCAGATGCTCAGTGCCTCGATGGTAGTAGCTTCTGTCAGAGAACAACAGGTAGAACTGCTATGGACTGCCTAACATCTCAGGGAGGGTACATTTCTGTCAGGGTGATGTCCTTTAGCCTTTCTGCAACCAAGGAGTACCCACAAAACAGTGGGGTCTACAGTTTTGAGGCACTCTACACTCACCTTACACTGGAGTTTGCAACATTGTGGTATAGCTACCCTTCCACAAGTAGCCCCACCACATTGACTCCAGGCCCTCCAATCGAATGCAGCTTACAGTTATATCCAGGACCTTCTATCTTTTATGCCTTGAAGTAAACTGGGGAAGCTGGGGAAAGATCAACCTAGACCCAATTGTTTAGTCAACCACTGGGAAAGTTTTCCCTCTCCTGTCTCAGTGCCTAACTGCCAGTACATCTCAAGCTCAAATGTTAACAATCTCCAACAGCCCAATCCCCAGGTGGTGCAGGACTTAAGATACAGCTTCATTCCGACTGGAGATCAAAAAAGCTGACTAGCTGCTGAGATGCACAGCTAAGGCACCGGGCAAATCTCAGGAAAGGACAGTATTCCTTATTTCCAAAGATGAAGTGGAATTTGTGAATTTCAGACTGCAGAGTCCAGACACTGAAATACATCTCACTTGCCAGTTAGACGAGCTCTTCAAGACTTAATGAGATAAATCAGAACCCAGCCAATAATGGAGGAGAAACAAAGGAAAGACCAGTTACAAACACGCTAGGGAGTCTCTCCTCCATCTCTCCTACAATCAGCATCATGTTATAGAAGCTGACCAAACACAGCTCCTTAAAAAAGGAAAATATTTTGCTAAGACTATCCATTGAAGACATTACTATGACTAAAACAAGAAAGATGTTAAGACCAGCCCAGTTTTTATGCTACAGAATAAGAGGGGGAAAAAAGTCTCCTGAAGCCCCCAGATTTTTTTTTTTTTTAAAGAGATACTTAAATAGTATAGGCCAATGTTTCTCAACCCGTGGGTCACGACCCAAAAGTAGGTCGCAAAAATATATGAAAGCATCATGAACAAACTTTAAAAATTGATTCTCCTTCAACAGAAAAAAAAAGGGGAAACCGTGACTTTTTCCTTGCAGGCTGGCAGAGCTGAAGCCTGGAAGGGGCTGCTTGGAGCCTCCCCCCCACACACACACCCACTGGGGGGTTGGGGCCTGGGAGGCAGCAGGTCAGGAGTGAGGAGCACTGGGCTGGGACTGCCCATCTATGTCTACAAATGCATACTGGTCCACAAAAGGTTGAGAACCACTGCTATACACTACAAACTTAAGAAAATGAAATTTAAATTAAAATCTGCCTGTATATAACACCAAAGGCGTTTTTCTCTGCAAATTGTCTCTCATCCTAAACAGCTATTTAGCTCATCAAAATTAAATCATTCTAATGACAGGTATAGCAGTATTCTTAAATCATGTACATAAATATATTCTTCGCTTGCACGTGGAATAACAGTGGAGGAACAATAATGCACAACTTGGCAGCCAATTCCTTGCACCAACTTCTTAGGTGCAATACACAACCAAAGCTAGATGCAGGCACATCTTGGGCACAGTAACAGTGGTCTGGAATGTGGGTCACAACACTAAGCACAGACCAGGCTGGGTACAAGATGCACATATATAATATAACCCCCCCCACCCCCCCAACCATCCCTTGTATGCCCTATTGTGTATTGCTGCACCTGAGGCACGTTAGGGTGTCATCTATCATGGCTCAGTGACATACAGCAGGGTGTGCAGTTACTACATGCCTGGAGTACAGCGTACTAAATAAGTGACGTGGTATGAGGTTAACTTGTCAGGTAAACACACCTGAGGTGCAGCAACGCACGCCCTGGGATGCCATTCCAGTGCGCTGCATGCAGTTCAGATACAATAACACATGACGGGTTACGGCAAGATTTATTCCCTGCTCTTGTGTGTCTTGATTAGACACAAACATGAAACCCCAGGGCCTCCTGAACCAAAGAAATGCACTCAGCACACGGTAACCACACCCTAGCCAAGTATCCACGTAATTATGAAGACATTCAACTTTCCAAAGTCTTTTAAGTCAATAAAGACAAATATTTTTAACAAAAAGGCAGAGGAGAACCACAAAAAAGGATGCTGTTCTTTTCTGAATGTCTCTGGGTGCTTTGCTGTTGCTATCTCTGATCACTGCCAACGATTTGAGCCTCTATCTTGCTTTTCAGCCTTGAGGTGCCCATTCCTATCAGCACAGGCCATGAAAAAAACCTGTGTAAATGTCAGGTTCTCACAAGACAACCTGCACAGGGGCACTGAGCCCCTTGCGAACTGTGCAATCAAACCCCCGCTCCCCTGAATGCTCTACTAATTAGCTTTCGGCTAATGTGTAGCTAATTACTTCTCGGTTTCATGCATAAAAGACTCTGGCAATGTTTCCTTCTTGGCTTTTCGCAAAACCCTATGTGCTAGGCTGAAGCCGAGCAGAGCGCCTCCATGCCAGCGCCCGGCAGTGGAGGTCCTCAGCCGGGGGTCTGCGTGGGGTGCCCCGAGGTCCTTTTGAGGCTACCTTGCATCGCTGGTGCTGGGAGGGAGGCGAATGCTGAGCACCAGCTAAACCCCGGGGTTTCAGAGAGGAACTGGCAGCAGTTCAGCTGCCCTGCCCGGCTGTGGGCTGCCCAGAGTGCCTGCCTGCCACAGGCGAACGGCTCTAGTGGATCTCAGAAATGAAGCTGGCGCTGTCCGGAATGGGGGAGGGGGGAGGCTGAGCCTGACACGGCCACGGGGGGCTACAACAGAACAAGGCCCAGGGGAGGCAGCGCCTGAA